CTTCAGTGTTGTTATATTTTTCTGGTCCTTCGGGATCATTAATGCCAGCACTATTAAGTGTTGAGAATTGAGTACCGCTCAAGCCGGTGCTAGGGGGGTGATATATGTTGCACTTATTCATTATCCCTCATGTACAGACTCAATCAAACCGAGTCTGTAGTTTTCTTGTAATTTTGTTGTGATTAAGGCTTCCGAGGGATCACTTTGTTTCCAGATTTTTATATTTTTGATCATTGAAGATCGTTCAGCACGACATTGTTGTCGTGTATACATGTAATGTGGTACTTTTTGTTTCTTCTATTTGGCCTTTTCAACTTGGGTGGTTCCAGAATACTGTATATTCACCCTTAGGATATGTTGCCTGCTTTTATAAATGTGTCTTTTGATGTCTTGTCTGTGATACGCAGGCTTCATAACCTCAGATCTCTTTCTTAATTCCATTTTATTTAGTGAGGCTCATTGTTTTCTCGTTTAGGGCACGCATTCTTTTACTTGGGGACCATACGCCGCTTTTCATGGAATGTCACTACTGTGTCACATTGAAGGTTCTATGATAACCGCCGTATGAACACATCTGAGAATGTTTCTAAATTCAAAATTTCACTATTTTCGTGTCAAATGTTGAATTCTGCTTAAGCCGGTGCTAGAGGGGCGGGGACGGTAACTTGCACTTGCCAGTACCGTCCATGAACAGGCGCAATCAAACCGAGCCTGCATTATTTTCAATAATGTTGTGTTGGGATTTTTTCATGTATTCGTTTTTACTCTTTTTTATGAGCAGGAAGTCTATGAAAATGCTTGCAAAAGTGGCAGTACTCCTTGTGGTAAAGAACATAATAATTCTATACGACTATACGACTATAGACCGACGCCGTATGAATTTTTTTTTATATAAAATCAAATTTACCGGACAAAGGGTTATTGAAAATAATAGCTCAATAAGTGTCTTTCAATGCCGGGTTTTATCCAAAGTGTTTTATATGATTTTATACAAAGCTGATTATTTTTTCGAAAAGTCAAATGACATTCAACGTTAGAAATATTGAAAATTAATCTTAATTACCATTACTGATTTAGACAGATCACGAAATCATACATATCAATGCACTTTCTGAATTTGATACAGTCTCGATAATCTAAGGCCTCGGTGATATATAGTTTCAAGTATGTGTTAACCCGATTAAGTAGCTGAACCAAAAAATAAATTTTGATCGGAAGAGAATAAAATATGATAAACAAGATCAACAAGGAAAGGCGGCGTTCAATGAACGCAACCCCCATTTGACCCAGCAACAAGAACCAATGGCAAGGAGCCCAGGCGGACCCCAAACAAAAACAGGACAGGGCACGGACAGGTTAATCACCAAATGATAAATAATATGTAACTGATTAGACTTTGGTATCGTTTTAATAAATAAGAGGAATTCGATCCCCCAGAACGTTCTAGACAAAATTCAAAAACTTTAAAACTTTTAGAATTCAGATATACCTCTTTTTACCTGTTGACTTATGTCAAATAAATACTCGTGTAAATCTGTGTTATTCTTAGGGTTCACAATAAAGATAGTTTACAAGATACTCATGCCTTGATTTAGCCTGAAATGTGACTGTTTCATAGGCTTTAGAATTTAAGATTATTATTAATAAGCAATTACCTAAATGTATTTGATTACTTGAAAAATATATGTTTCACATTGGAAAATTGTCTATCCACCACGTTTTTATCGCCCTTAACCGGCGCGTTTGTATCATTAGTTTTGAAGTTGTTTGGTTGTCGTTGTCGTTGTTTTTAAGGTGGTGGGGCTGTTTCGCTATCCCTGTTTGATATTTCCTTTTACACTTTTCAATAGTTAAATACATGTTTATCCATTAAACATTACTAAAGTGTGTTGTTTGAATAGTACTGAGATTGAAGAGGATAACATAGATAGATTAAAAACGTTTGAGAACAGAACTTCAATATGGCATAATGTAATTCTCAACTTGTTAAATTCTGCTTAAGCATTTATTTAGACGGTAGCCTGCACAAACCACTGTCGAACATTAACATGTGCAAGTTAACCGAGCCTCAACATGTTCCTTTTTACGTTTGAAATACCGTTGTTTTCTATTTGACCGTCACGTCAGTGAGGTTTTGCCGTGTGAAGGCCATAAAATCCCTGTTCATTCAATAAAAAATATATGATTTCTGATCCTCGGAGATCTTTCAGAACGACATTTTTGTTGTGTTTCTAATATGTAAAGTTCCTTCCATTTGACGGATTTAGCTAGGTCGTTCGAGTATTCCTATATAAATATTGTTAAATCAGTTGTCTGCTTTTGAAATTTGTATATGACGGCTTACGAAATAACAAATTAAAATTATGAATGTCTCATCATCAGTGATTATTGTTTTTATTTCATTATAAAACTAAACGAAATTGTTGTTTTGCATGGCTTCAATAAAAAAATTTAAAAAAATCAAAGCCGTTTCACTGGCTGCAGTTAATCAAGGGCAATTATCGTAATGAAAAGAAGCAATTCACCAAAAATGTGCAATAACTACACAGGCTCGTTTGCACTGATTTCTTTTGTATACTTTCTTTCAATAACATTGTGTCTGAAACATAGTGTTAATTTCTGTATAATATATACTCGAATATACTAAGTTAAAATATATGATCAGTTCTGGAAAAAAGATATCTTTTAATAAATAGTGCTTATATATCTTACCAACAGAACATTTGTATGTTAACATTTACTTCGGGTAATAATGTTAAATATCTATTATGTACATAAATGCTGATTTCTTTATACATGTATGCATTTTATGTAAATGTGTTGATTATTTGTAAATATATTGTCCTTATGGGTCTATCTTCTAGAATTAACTTGAATAAAATCTAAATCTAATCTAAAAAAATCTATATTACCTATGTTTCTTATAATTCATTAAGCCATCAACAGGCATGTGCATATTGCATCAAAAAAGATAAATGCATGGATTCTTGGCATTTGATATTGTAAAGAATTACTCTATTTTTGTTAAACTGAGAAATGTTTGTGTGAATGAATTCAGTATAATTACAAATAATAGAAACTCGAGGGCTAATATTTATTGATTTATGGGAACAAGTCTATGATATAAACATCATCAAATATATTTTTAAAGGGTTTAACTTAGGATGATATATAAAGTATTATAAATTAACACTTTTTAGCAAATTTTGTAAATATAATGCTTAGTAAACATTTTTATTTTGTCCAACACTTAGACATTATATTTACACATCTGCAAGTACAAAAAATTATTGTCCATTATTCTGATAAATATTAGGTGGAAAAATATCCAAAGTTTAAATATTGGATAGTTTCTTCATCTGTCCGTACAATGAACACATTAATCTACCGATACAACGAAAGATCCCGTCATGCAACAGTAACTCCAATGTTACAACACTTTCGAAAATCTACCGAATTAAAATATTGTGAAATGATGAAGACAAAGCTCAGTTATTGGAAGGAAATACCAAATAGTTATGCTAATTTACTGATGCCACGTGCTGGTAGAGGAACGCAAAAGATCCAGGATTGCATAAAAAATATAAGGAAACCAAATAACTGCCTTTATTTTGATATTGTTGTTATTTTGGCAACAGTATGTGATGATTTATAAGATACATCATGTAATAATTTGATAAATACATCATAATTATATAATAACCATTGTATCGGTATAAACTTTAGCTTGAAATTATGTTTGAGACATACCAACCTATACATTGACCTGTTTTGAAAAAACCATCCCGAACTTTGTCGAAATAATTGTTTCTTTTCTTCAAATCGGGTATTGTTTATATGTTACGCAGCAGATTATGCAACACAAAACACGTTTGTTATCGACTTTGAATAAGCATGACATTAAAATGATTTTATATATAAACTAATTCAGAACAGTAAAAATGTAACTTCATATCTTTTAACTATCGTCAGGCATGTCGTCTTAAAAATTACAACAGGACCACGATGGTCTTTTCGCGATATGAATCTTAATGGCAAGGAACAATAAATATTGTAACATATGAACGAAACCGATATAATTATTAGATCTTAACTGTTAACCCAAAGAATTATTTCAAATTTGACCTAGAAATAACAGAAGCTATCTTTCTGGCTATGATTGCCTTTAGATTTGGCAGAAAATAATATCTGTTGTGTTTTGTCCATATTTGGGCTTTGTGACATAGTTTTTAAACAAAGGTGACCCTCCAACAATCTCGAATTATACATCATTAAAACAACATGTCTGGCAAATTTCTAGAATATAACATCTAGAATGCTTGTGGCCTTATTTTAACCCATGATGACCAAAATTAAATTTGAGATAGAAATCATCAAAACGACATGACATATTTCAAGGATACTTGGAATGAAATTCTAACCTGTCGATTTTAAAGTGACATTATGCTCATATTTTCATAGTCAAGTTGAGCTGAATTGACTTTATATTTCATAAGAATAACTGACAAAATGGTGTTTGACCAACAGTTGATATTGGAAAATGTTTTGAATAAAATTATAAATCAGCCTAAAATCTAAAAAGACTGTCCCACTCTTTTTATAAACTAGGTGTAAATTCTAATAGATATTTACAGAAATCTAGTAGGGATCTCTGCGTTATTTATTGTTTATGCGAACTTAATTATTAAATAAAGAGGAATTATAGCAAAATGAAAACTTAATTTGATATTCACCCGTTCACGCATTATATACCCTTGGATGGGTATCAGGTCACTTTAACAATGTTGTTCCATATTTTTGGCTTTAAAAGTTACTTTTGAGTTCAAAAGAACATAATTCGAACATTAGCTATAGTCATAGAAGCAACATTATTGACAAATGTCCAGGATATTTTAGCTAAAAAATCACCCTTTTGATTTATTACTAGGTTTTTCCCCGTTTGAGCATTGGGGCCTAGTTTATGACACCAGATTATGCATATACAATGTTCAAACACTCACCTTTCTGTTAAACTACACTGAAATATAAATAAGACAGATGAAAATGTAATAATACCAGGATTGATGTGATCACATGTCTTTAGCTACGGTAACGCTGTATTACAGTGTATTTTAAAACACATGATTTGAAAGAATTGTTTGCCTTTTTTTTACATACTTGTTAATTAAAGAATCAATTATACAATTATAAAGATATTGTTCCAGGAAGTATTTTCCTATTCGAGCAATACATTCTTTTCATTGGCAAAAATGTTGATCCACTTAAATTGATTTCGATTTTTGAATTCTAATTTCAAGGCACTGTTAGACTCAGGAATGCTATCATTTTGTTTTTTGCAAAAACTTTTCATTTTAGGCGTCCTTTTATCGTTTCCAAAACGTAACCCAATGACCATACAGATGATATATCTTTCGCTTCTTTTGCGTTCTAGCAGGACACAATTAAAGTGAGTTAGTATTTTGTTTGGAAGTCAAAATACTACTTTGTTTAATCTTTGCTACCTTTATGACAATTTATCTCCCATTCAATTTTATTTCTTCAAGTGATAAGCATATCACAAGTTCTAAATACATTATTGCAACATGTGTTTTTTCTGCAGAACGAAATATTAATTTTTCTCTGAGGCATAACTTGCTTTTATTCAAATGAGATAATAATAATAATAATAACAATAATAATAATAATTTTCATAATAAAAATAGATTAAATAATAATGAAACTTACATTATCTGACGGTGTAGGTGTTATTACAACGTCGTCAAATATTTCATCTGACATCAAGCATTGTATCTCCATCATCAATCTTTCTTGTTCCTGTTTCTGTTCATCCTCACTCATGTTTCTTGCTGTAGCATTACACGAGTAAGTGTAACATAAATCACGTGAAGAGTCATCCTTTTTCTGCGAAGGTCCTGAAGGGGTTTTATACATCACTGCCCGATTCAAAATTGAATCTAACTGAAATAAGAAAACACATTTTTAGGTAACCCAATTTATTTGATCCTCTACATAACCACAGTTGGTCAAGCACATTCCACTGTGGTTTCGTCCGGCGATTTTTAAATGCAAAATGAAAGGTATTCTAAAAATGAAGGACACTAAAACATAAATTGATAAATTGAGCAGATAACAGTAAAACAACAAAAGAGGACACGAAACACACACGCCACACACGCTCGCACACACGCGCGCTCGCAAATAAACAGACGTGAAAAAGAAAAAAAGAGAACTTTCAAACACAAGAAAAAATATAATATATACGTGTGTGATTTATATTGCCTCATTTCACGTAAGTAAAAAAGAGACAAGAGACAAAAACAAAAGAACACGATGAATCATTCTTTCCTCGCGACATCTGAAAGCATTTTTCATTGATCTAAAACGTTAAACAGCCATAAAGACCCTTAATATGTTATAATGATTATTTTTCATGCAATGAAAACACATTTAGAAAGTATTATTTCTTTTTGTTCGAACAGTTCATCCTCAAAACTGTAGCCAAAAACGTATCGCATTTATTTATGGATGAAAAGGGTTCTTCAGTAAAAACTACATGAATTTATTGTTTTACATTATTGCACTGCCAGAACATGTGCTCTCTTGTTTCTACGTCATTGTTGCATACGGTACTTAAGGTCTCTCTTTATATTTCATTTTCTGTGAAAATAATGTGAACTTAAGATTATGTGTACAAGTCTGGCCTTTAAATCATTTTGTAACCATTTTATTCTTTATAACAGTTAATAACAGTTTAATGTTGATACCTTAATTACCTTTGTAATAGTTATAGTATATGCGAGGATATTAAACTGGTTCGGGTAACAACGAGGGATGTTTCTGCTGAAAAAAAGTTGACGCCGTTAGGCCGAGACAAGGTTTTTGCAAATAAACATCCCGAGATGGATTGCGTAAGTTAGATTAGCGGGTAGAGCATATAAAAGTACATGTATGGGGTTTGAAGGATGTGGATGATTTTGCCTTCAAGCTATTTGGTGAATATGTAGAGGTCTAGTTCACATAGATACATGGACCTTTTAAGGGTTACGGAAGGGAAAGCTAATGAAGATGCAGACATGTATCATGCTTTGTGTGGAAGCACATTTTCATTTCATTGCAAAGGTATATAGTTTAACGGTTTTCAATGACCTTGAACTTTGAAATGTTGATCGATGGGTGGATTTGGTCATTCTTGCCATTGAGTAAAACAACATTTGTGCCAAGTTTGATTAGTATTAAAGCAGTTTTTATAGTTTTATAGCAATTTGAACTTGTAACGGGATACTTTTCAATGAAAACAGCCATTTTTTACAAAATGCTCATGCATTAATGGGTTAATGGAAAAAATAAAAAAATCTACGAAAAAATAATTTTTCTTCAAAATTATAACATTATATGTTAGGCCATGTTTTAACATGGAAAACGCGATTTTGGGTAATTTCATGTATTTTCATCATTTTCTGCTAAACAATTTTCCGCTTTACACGCCTTTTAACGCCTTTTCATCCCCCTATTTGTTGCCTCAAATGGTGAAAAATGCCTTATTTAGGCCCCCAACACTTGTTTTTGTTTGAGAGTACTTGTTTTAAAAAGTGACTACTTTTTCGGCGCCGCCCCTATCCAAAAGATAAGTCAGTGGGTTGCCACAAAGGGGATGTGCCCCCTTTTGTTTGGGAGGGGAGGGGGGGGTTGAAGGGGGCGGCAGTCCCAATCATCGCCAAGAAAATTTATGACTTGTGAGAGGCTAAAACTGACCCAAGGTCGATCATAAGGTAACGTGTAACCAACGCTGAAAAGCCTTTGACTCTATCTCAATCCATTGAGCAGCACTTTTAAATCAATTTTGATGGAAAAAATCAACGCAAAATAGTAGTTTTTGGCAATTTTGAGATATCCCGTCGTTGCCATGGTAACATGAAATTTAAGATTGAGCATGTCGTTTCAAAGGCAATGGTCCAGTCAACATTTGTGTTAAGTTTGATTAGTATTGAAGCATTATTTATAGTTTTATAGCAATTTGAACTTGTAACGGGAGACTTTTCAATGAAAACAGCCATTTTTCACCAATGAAAAACAATAAAATGAAAATGACACACTTCGGTCATTCCCATGAATATGTTATCCTCAATTCAAGCAGCAGGGTTATCACTGAAGACTTAAATGATATGCGAGGGTTACATAAATTGGTAGAAAATTTCACAAAAGTCTAGTCGGCAATTTCAGTGTTCGGCTTATTAAGATATTGAAAATTTTACACTAAATAATATAACATATATACAGAACAATGCATTGGTATAGCTACTATTAATGAGTACCAAAAGGACAGTTGAAGGTGTCACTTCTTATGCCACTAATCGGAGTGCAAAAATGATAAATGCATCAAAATATAGAAAATAAGAATCCCTAAAGAAAACCCAAAACGGCAAAATTGGAAATGTCGCAGGCTCATTTTAAAGTCACAGCCATTTTACCTTCCCCACTTTTTAATACAGTACAAACTCTGAATACCGAACCCTCTGAAAACCGGAATCCTCTGAAAACTGGACCATTTTAAAAGTCCCGTATTTTCTCCTTATGTTCATTGAAAATTATCCTCTGAATACCGGAACCTCTGAATTCCGAAAACCGGACGATTTTCTATGATTTCTAATGCTAAATATGCATAATAAATCCTCTGAAAACCGGACAGGAATTTAAAGTGTCAACTTTCTGTGTACTTTAATGTAGATCTAAACATAATCTCAACAGGTGACATGTTCAATTACCAGGTAATGGACGTCTCCTTTTATCTATGCAAGTGTGAAAACACTTGTCAGTATGTCAATTCAATTATGGCTGTTTCATCATATTTGTGTCTTTCCTCGTATTGATATATGATTTTTCAAAATGTTTTTAATGTGTTATGTTTTTTTATTTACTATAAAATGTCTAAAAGAGTTGGTAAACTTTGTTAAAACGATTCCAGTTTTGCTTTAAATTTCGATCTTTAAGTTATCTTTGTTTTGATATCAATTATATGCAAAAATAGTAATACTAAATTCAATTAGTGACATATTTCAAAGCTAACGAAAAAGATATTATGATATATTTCAGACAATATGCTGTTTTAATTTCTGATTTTATGAATTATATTCATGGATTGCATAATAAAATTACTTAAGACATCAATTGCAAAAACAAATTAAAATATGACTTAGACAAAAGAGTTGAAAATTAAATACAACATGATTGAACAAAGTCATTGTTCAAACACATCATAATTATCAATAAATGTATAAAACCTCTGAAAACCGGTATCCTCTGAAAAACGGACTTTTGGTCAAGTCCGGACAGGGTCCGGTTTTCAGAGTTTTTACTGTATTACCAAATATGGAAACTTGTCTAGATCTGCAAGCTGATATCACTTACAAAAGATCTATTCTACAGTTAACACTTGAAAAAAAACGTGATTACAAATTAGGGTGTCATGAATAAGGAACTCTATGTAAAGTCTGATGACTATTTAGTGGTACAACATATAAATAAATTAATCAAATACACCTTAGACTGATTTAAATGGTAAATCTCTTTAGCCAATATTTTATAAAAAGAAATTGAACTTGCTTAGAGTTTTATCACTATTTTAAACAAGTGACTATTTTGTTATAGTTAAAGTTGGACAATTTATATTGTGTCACTTAAAACAAACGGTTTCTTATTGTTTTTTCTGACATCAAATATGGCATTTCTGCAAGTGTTAAAGTTTACAACACATGTGACTTTATGCACTTTAGTCGGACATGACTACTGCGCCACAGGATTAAGAATGTGTTTAAATTTAAGTTGTGATTGAACAATGGTTGTTTCGGTATATTGTTATAGTCACTTCGGATGCCGTTTCATTCAGCAAACTTGTACCTTGACTATAAATTTCTTTGTGTATTGTCTTCATATTTGGCAACAATAACCCTTAGGAAAAGACCTTTTATTTGACCAAACTAACCTTGACGTTCATTCCAAATTGACCTTGAACTTAAAGGTCAAATATCTAAATTGTGCTTGTTTTTTTACTGATTTTGCTATAAGTGACCATAACGTTTTAATTTTCGAATGGAATGTCTTCAAACTTGAACATATTTATCTTTTAGGTAGGACATACCTTCAAGGTAACTAGACATGGCTTGACCTTTACTCATAATTGACATTGGCCTTGAAGGCCAAATTATTGAAATTTGTATTTCTTTTCGCTATAACTTTGTTATTATTGAATGAATTGATTGTATATTATAATAAAAAAACGTTATTTAGGATAAGCCCTTATTGTAATGTGATTAATTTCAAAAAAAGCCTTGTCTTTTTATGAAGTTGACCTTGAAAGTTAAATTACTGATGTTTTGCTATTTTTTACCATCATTGACCGTAACTTGGTAATTAATAATTATTAATAGTAGTTATGTACGAATTTGATTTAAACTTGAACAAAAAAAGACTCTATACCAAACAAACATACTGAATAATTTAGATGTGACCTTGACTTTTTATTGGCCCTGACAGTCAAGGACAAATAAATGAAATTCTCTGTTTTTTTTGTAACTGGCTATATCTTTGTAATTTTTAAATTGATTAACCTATATAAAGACACACCATCTTTTGGGTTAGAAACCATCATGTATATCAAACTCAATGTGACTTATACCCATGTATGACCTTGACCTTGAAGGTCAAATAATTTTATTTTCACTGATTATTGTTATAATTGACTGTAACTTTATAATTAATCAATGGATTAATAATAACACTTGTGACCAAACAGACACGTGAAATAATTTAGATATGACCTTGGTCTTTAAATGACCCTGACTGTCAAATGATTGAATTTTGAATACATTTTCTTAAGTTTGTCATTTATCTATGGAAATGATTCATACTTGGACAAAACAGCTAGACAGACGTATTGAATTAAAAAAAAAG